ACCGCAGGGCAGAACATGATTTAGTGCTTTAAGAAGCCTAGGTACCGAGAATTGTTTTCTCTTGTCAAAGAGCTGGGCCACAAATATCTTCCTCCTTGCCTCCCACCCCCACCCCCGTCTCCCATCCCCTCTCCCCAGCCATATGTCTCTGCCCTTCTGGATGTTTCCTCCTGGACCACCTGCTACTCAGGGACACAACCCCCCTGCTTTCCATCTTAGAACAGGGGTAGGATGTTAAGGAGACTTGCCAGGGACCTGGGGTCCAGAGCGTGGGGAAGGAGACAGCGCTTGGGGTTTCCTGGGAGGTATGAGGGAGGTGGATGGGTCCGAGGAAGTGGCTCCTCCTAGGTTCTGGAAGAAGGGAGGGCCCCACCTGTGAAGTGGGAAGGGGATGTCAGTGGGCCCCTCCCTCCTTTACTAGAATACCTGGAAGGGGTCCGGGCTGGGGACTTGCCTTCGCTGATGCCTGTCTGTCCTCCCTGTCTTCCCTACCCACACCTTCTCCTGTTTCACTGCCATCTTTGTATCTGTCTTTGGACTGTTCCTCTGGGTGCCATCCTGCCCATCTGTGTCTTCTTTGCTATCTGGGCCTTCTCCCTCCACCCCTGGCTCTGATCCCTCTGCCTCTTGGGGTATCTCTCTCTGAACTTCCCCAAACTGGCATTCCGTTCCTTTTTCCTGACCTCATGGCTCACTCTGGGTCACTTCTGTGTTTATCTCTGATCCTGGCCTCCCATCTTGGTCTGACTCTTCTCTCCACATCCCTGTCTGTCTCTGCCTGTCATCTCGGGTGCTGGCCTCTGGCCCTCCCTTCCCGCATTCATCTCTGTACTGGGTCTTGCCACTCCGTCTCACTCCCCAATCATCTCGGCCCTTTGCCTGCCCATCTGAGCAGCAGCGTCCCATCCAGCCCTCTTTCACCAAGTCCCTCTGCCGTGAGTCCCACTGGAAGTGCCTGCTGCTCTCGCTGCTCATGTACGGCTGCCTGGGGGCGGTGGCCTGGTGCCACGTCACCACGGTGACCCGCCTCACCTTCAGCAGCGCCTACCAGGGCAACAGCCTCATGTACCACGACAGCCCCTGCTCCAACGGCTATGTCTACATCCCCCTGGCCTTCCTGCTCATGCTGTATGCCGTCTACCTGGTGGAGTGCTGGCATTGCCAAGCCCGCCACGAGCTGCAGCACCGGGTGGACGTGAGCAGCGTGCGAGAGCGCGTGGGCCGCATGCAGCAGGCCACGCCCTGTATCTGGTGGAAGGCCATCAGCTACCACTACGTCCGCCGCACGCGCCAAGTCACCCGATACCGCAATGGAGACGCCTACACTACCACCCAGGTGAGGAGCTGGAGGGGAGCACAGGCCGGTCCAGATGGGAGGGGGATGGCTGGGACCCTGCCCGACTGTCCCCAGGGGGAGCACAGCCCGCAGTGAGCTCTCGTGGGCACTGCCACAGAAGAGCAATAACCACCACCATAAAAATAACAGCAAACACTAGCAGACAGGTTCTGCTCTAACTACTTTACCAATATCAAAGTCAAACAGCTAGTGTATGGTGGAACTGGGATTTGAAGCCCGGCAGTCTGACTCCAGGGTCTGTGTTTCTGGAGATGATAAGATCCTACCTGGCTCCAACCGGGAGCTAAGCCAGGACAGGCTGAGGGTTCGATCAGGCGCCGAGAGCCGCCATGGGGCGGACGAGGGTGAGCGGACTGAAGCGACCCCGCCGCCTTCCCCGGCGCCGCAGGTCTATCATGAGCGCGTGAATACGCACGTGGCCGAGGCCGAGTTCGACTATGCGCGCTGTGGCGTCCGCGACGTGTCCAAGGCGCTGGTGGGGCTGGAGGGCGCGCCGGCCACACGGCTGCGCTTCACCAAGTGCTTCAGTTTCGCCAGCGTGGAGGCCGAGAACGCGTACCTGTGCCAGCGCGCGCGCTTCTTCGCCGAGAACGAGGGCCTGGACGACTACATGGAGGCGCGCGAGGGCATGCATCTCAAGAACGTGGACTTCCGCGAGTTTATGGTGGCCTTCCCCGACCCGGCCAGGCCGCCCTGGTACGCCTGCTCGTCCGCCTTCTGGGCCGCGGCGCTGCTCACGCTGTCGTGGCCGCTGCGCGTGCTGGCCGAGTACCGCACAGCCTACGCGCACTACCACGTAGAGAAGCTCTTCGGCCTGGAGGGCCCGGGCTCGGCGGGTGGCAGCGCCGGCGGCGGCCTCAGTCCCAGCGACGAGCTGCTGCCGCCGCTCACGCACCGCCTGCCGCGGGTCAACACGGTGGACAGCACGGAGCTCGAGTGGCATATCCGCTCCAACCAGCAGCTGGTGCCCAGCTACTCGGAAGCGGTGCTCATGGACCTGGCGGGGCTGGGCGCGCGCTGCACTGGGGGAGCGGCCGGTGGCTACGCCCCCACCTGCCGCTACGGTGGGGTGGGTGGACCGGGAGCGGCTGGCCTGGCCCCGTACAGGCGCAGCTGCGAGCACTGCCAGCGCGCCGTCAGTAGCTCGTCCATCTTCTCGCGCAGCGCCCTGAGCATCTGCGCCAGCCCGCGGGCCGCCCCCGGGCCCGGAGGGGTCGGGGCGGGCTGCGGGGGCAGCCGCTTCTCTCTCGGCCGCCTCTACGGCTCGCGGCGCAGCTGCCTGTGGCGCAGCCGGAGCGGGAGCGTCAACGAGGCGAGCTGTCCCACCGAGCAGACGCGACTGTCCAGCCAGGCCAGCATGGGGGACGACGAGGAGGACGACGACGAGGAGGAGGCCGGGCCGCCGCCGCCCTACCACGACGCCCTCTACTTTCCGGTGCTCATCGTGCACCGGCAAGAGGGCTGTCTGGGCCACAGCCACCGGCCGCTGCACCGCCACGGCTCCTGCGTAGAGACTTCACTGTGACCCCGGGTCCCGGGACCGGCCCGACGGTCTCTTCCCTGCCCCTTGCCGGGACGGCGCGTCCCGCGGGTGGAGCAGGGGGAGTCACGAATGTGGCCGAGGCCGTGCTGGGAACGGCGCGGGTGGGGAGGTGGGCGGCGAGGGGGCACGGGCCAGACTCAGACGGGGCCGATCCGATCCCCCCACTTCCTGTACATAAAGAGACAGCTGGGGGGAGGGGAGGCAATCCCACCCCCGCAGAGCCGTCTCTTCCAGGCCTGCCCGCCCCTGAGTTCCTAGGGGGTCACCTCCCGTTCCGACACACACACTCGCACATTGGAGATTCCCTGTCCCGCCTTTCAATGGATCCAATGACTGTTACCTGGCGACTGCGCCCTGGAACCCGCCTTGGGCTCCGTCTCCAGGGAGAGGCTCTCGCTGTGCCCCTGGGGAGGTTTGGAGGCCGGGGGGAAGGGCCGGCCCGCTTTCTTTTCTCGCTGCAGCCTGATCCTGCGGGGGCCTCACTCTACCAAGGGGGCAGTGGTTCGGAGAACAGCAGGGCTGGCTTCCAACCAAGCTAATGAATTCAGTGGGTGTGAGGCCGGGGCCAGGTGTCAGCCGCGGTACTCCATCTCAAAGCCCTGGAGATGTTGCTCTCTTCTTCTTGGCGCTGGCCCCGACAAGATCCGAAGATCGGGGTTTCCTTTCCACCACTCCCACCACTGTTGTTTATCTCCCTGGGCCCCCCGGGAGGTTGGGTCCTGGGGGGACCTACTCACCACAGCTCTTCTTCCCCAGCCTGCTTCCTGGCTCTGAAGAGCTGTTGCCAGGGTGAGGGGGAAGGCAAACTGTGGAGGGCAGTGCACCTCAGTCGTTTAAACTTCAGCCTCCTTGCCTCGGTTCTGGGAGGGCACCCCCATCAGGCGGCATTCCTTTAAGCTGACCAAGCCGTACGACTCAGCGGGGAGACTAGGAGACAGGCCTGGGTGACAACAGAGAACTCAGGAAGCAAGTGGGAGTCGAAGAGGAGAGGATCACGAAAAGATCCTCAAAGGTGGGGGTGTCCGTGGGGGCCGACCCTTGGCTCCCCCGTGTTCGTGGGGAGGAGTGGTCGTCCGCAAGCTGAGCCTCTGCAGGGCTGAGGACCTTGTCACGAGCCCAGCTGGAAGCTCTGTTCCATTGGCAGGGTCAGAGGCAGGAATTTTCTAAATCTTGCCCCATCCCTCTGTCCTCCCCTAGCCCGTGAGCTGAAGCCCTGCTGTGTGTCCCAGGGTCTTCAAAGGGGCATGCTGTCACCACCCCAGGGCGCTGGCCCCATGTCCTGTCCCCCACCGCTCCTACCCTGATGTGCTTCCGTGTGCATGTCTGTGTACAAAACCCCTGCCCGCCCAGCTCCGCTGGCTAACGTTTTCCCAGCTGACTTAGCGCCCAGGGAGAGAGCTCACATTTGCAGCCGGAGAGGATAACCCTCAGCCTCGACATGGCTCGCCGTCGATGCTTCTCACTTCATCTGAGCCATCAGAACCACTCCTCTCCCCTCTTCCTCCAGCCTGGCCAGGCCCGCACCACCCGGGGCGTGGCCTCCACCTATGCAACATCTCTGGCTCCCTTGCTCCCCTTCCCTGGGGAGTTGGGGGTGCACAGATTGTGGGGACACCATGGCCTGTGGCGCATTGGGGTTGAGGTTAACTTTCAGGTGGAGATGGCTGAATGGGAAGGGGAGGAGGCAGGAGAAGGGGAGGCTTGGGCAGGAGGGGACAGCTGCCCACTAGGTTTCCCTGGGCGGCCAGCACTGTGCTCTTCAGGGGCCTGGGGGTTGGAGCGCCCCTCTTTCCTTTGAATGGATGTCTGCGAGGTACAGGTGGTGAGCTGTGGCCTTGGCACCCAGTTCTTGGCCAGCTGGCACCCGGATGTCACACCTTTGTCTGGGGCATCCTGGCCACCTCGTGGCTCTGGGGAGGGAGGAACTCAGCTCCCTGCCTCAGGCAGATGCCTGAGACAGAGCCTGAGCTGGGAGGAGGGGAGAGGGGAGGGGCTGTGATTATTTTTGCCTGTATTGACCATTTCTGCCTAGGTCTTCTCACACTGACAGCCTCACACCTCCCACATACGCACAGACTTAGAGAGAAACCAAGTCTTTGGTCTATTTTCTTGGTAGCTTTATTGATTGCCAGGGAAAACGAAAACCAGAAAAATTAATCTCTAAAATTAAACTTTACACTGAATGTTCTTGTTTCTCTAATTAGAACCTCTGCTAGCAGCTGTGGCTATGTACACTCACACACTCACACACACCCTCACACCTATAAGTTTGCACTCCGGAACTGTCAGAGGGTGTCAGGCACAGACAGACTTGAAGTTGCCCAGACAGGCACACACGTGTGGTCACTCCCAAGCCCCCTTTGGTGCTCTGCTCCGTGCCTGCTTGTTGGAAGGAGTCCCTGGAAAGCGCTCCTAGGCTGTGGTTGCAGCCTGTGACCCAGCCTTTGGAAACATGGCTGGGGGTTCAGTCTGTGGAGGATGGGCCCTGGGGCTCAGCCTGAGTCCATCGGGCAGATCCTCTCATGGCCTCGTGGGGAGATGTGATTCCTGTGGGTGTGGCCCCAGGGCGGGTGGTCGTAGAGTGATGGGGACTCTTGGAGGGTGCCTGGAAGGTTTCATGTGTCCTGGGACAAGGGCTTGTGGGGTGGGCTGGGCCTGGCTGGGGAGAAGACAGGTCTCTGTCAACTGGGTGCATCACACTGTGGCCTTTCTGTTGTGGATTTCCAAGCGCAAAGATTGTATAAATCAAACTGGTGGATAATAAAGTTGCGGATGACTCACTGACTTCCCTCCCAGGGTCACACCTCTCTCACCATCTCCCAGTCCTGTGAGCAGCTCTTTGGGGAGGCCGCCGGGTCTGAGCCCCTCCCGTCACCTCTGTTTCCTCCTGCCCAGGTTGGGGTGGGGTGGACTAGGGCTGGCATGCCCTGCAGAACTGGAAGACTTAAGCAGAGTCAAGTAAGAGGGAGGTGGCATCTGCAGCGGTGAGGGTGGAAGAGCCAGGCAGAGCTCTGCTGAAGCCGGGGGAGGAGGAGAGAGTGTGAGTGTGTTTGAAGGTCAAGAGGTCAAGGATCTGTTTGGTAGAGAGAACAATGGTGGGGAGGAGGGTGGTTGGGGAGATGGATGGCCCCTGTGGGAGAGTCTGGGCCTCACAGTCTCAGGGTCGGCTTTCCATATTCTTGGGAGAAGTCAGTCATTTCAGTGAGTCCCTTCATATCCTCTCCCTAGGTACCAGGGCTAAGTCCCACTTCCTACCTCTATCCCACACTCCTTCCTCTCCTCACAGATCCCTGCAGAACCTCAGTTGCTCACCCCCAGGATAGTCTTGGTCTCACCTCCCCCTCCCTTGGGACCAGGGTGACTCTCAAGAGCAGGCATGGCAGGGGCATGAAATGAGGGATGGGGTTGGGGCGGTGACCTAGGTCTGGTCACCGCCCCAGCCCTGTTCCCATCTTATCCCACAGGATTCTCAGGGCCCTTGGCAGTGACTGGGGACATGAAGTGGCTGGGATTCAGGGCCCGCTGGCGGGCTGCTTCACGGTTGGCACAGAGGGCCTGGCCGATGAGGTACTCGCTCTCCTTGGCGATGTCTGACAGGCGCAAATCAAACTCCAGGAGGGTCTTGTTGTCTGACATGCCTTCCAGGAGCTGCTTCCCGCCATCCTGGGTCAGGAATACAAGGGAAAGGGTCACTTTCCACCATGACCCAGGACCACACAAACATGGGTGGATGTGTGCACATGTACACATACTGATATACAGACATGATGGGAACAACAACTTCACAACACAGTTCCTACTTTGTGTAGCGTTTTCTGTCCTGTTTCATCTTATTCCCTGAGAAAAATGGTGCTTGAAATTCACTACATGGACTTTTCAACCCCAGTGGTTTGAAAAACATGGTGCTGTATCAGTGACGATGACTCCATTCTTCTGGTTCAGCCACGAGCACGTGAGACCAATCTGGCCCGTGAGATATAAGGAAATTTGGAGGGAGTGGCATGTGGGAAGTTTTTTCTCGTAAAAGAAAAGAAGAGAGAAGTGGTCTCCTTTTTGCCTGCCTCTGAACGCAGCCCTGTGGGAAGTACAGCCGCCATCTTGGGCCCATGAGAGTCACACAAGAGACAACGGGGCCATGGGGCTGGGTAGGCAAAGCTGAGGTACCTCAGAAGCACTGAGCCAAGGAACTCCCCAACCCCAGAACCCCCTTCTCAGGGGCTTCTGATTATGGGACACCGTGAACATTCCTCTTGTTTAAGCCATTTCCCACTGAAGCTTTCTGTTACTTATAGCCAAGAGCACTCTCTCTCGAGTCAGTGTCTGTGAGCCAGACTGTCCTCTGGGGAGGCTTGGTAGAGGGTGCAGGGCCCTAACTGGAGTGCCTGGAGGGCCCTCTTCTCTAAGCCTCATAGTTCCAGCCCCTTCCGGGTTGGGTGGCCCTCGCCCAGTAAGAAAAATTTCCTGTTGGGAGGCAGAAGGCTGGTTTTCTGTGGTTGTGACCCAATAATATGTTGCAAAGTCAACTCAATGGGTCACTGAAGCATCTTTAAAAAATGAAGTAGCAAAAAAAAAAAAAATGAAGTAGCAGACATCATACAGGAAAACATGAGCATATATCACAAGCAGTGCAAGTTAAATTTCAATTACGTTATATCGATATATGTGTTCACTCGGTGCTCATGCAAATTGCGTTTCTTATTCTGAGACTTGGTCAAGATTTGAAAGACACTGTCTGTTGGGAAGGACCCAAGCTTTCAACCTGACTGGATGCTCTCAGGCAACTCACTAACCTCTCTGAGACTATTTTCCATCTCTAAAGTGGGGCTATTTTACTAGATAAGTTGAGGGTTAAAGAAAAACTAACGGATACTGGGTGCCTAGCATAGTATAGAATCCCAAGTAGTAGCAACAGCTAGTAAATACTGAGGACCTAGACAGTATCTGCAATGGTTGACTTCTTTACAATTATAACTCGTTTAATCTGCCCATTAACAACACTTAGAGGTAGATGCTACTACTATTTGCATTTTACAGATGGGGAAATGGAGGTCCCAAAAGGTTAAGTAAATTTAACCAAGTGCTAAATGGCAGAGCTGGGGTGAGAACTGGGTAAAGGCTGTGGCCCTAACAATTTCCCGGTAAGTACTGGCGGTCGTCAGATTCCAAGCCCTCCGCCCAAGGCCCCAGGGTTCCCCTTGGCCCTGCGTGCCCCAGAAGCCGTGGCTCACCAGCCCGATGTGGTTGCAGGACAGGTTGATGCTGGTGAGCGTGGTGTTGATGGTGAGCACCTGGGACAGGAGGGTCGCGGTGGGCTCGGACAGCTCATTGCCCCCCAGGTGCAGCGTGGTGAGGCACTTGTTGGTATGCAGAGCGTGGGCGAGCGCCTGGCCGCCCTCATCCTCGATGCAGTTGAGGCGCAGGTTGAGGGAGATGAGGTTGCTGTTGTGCCCCAGGGCGTGAGCCAGCGAATGGGCGCCGGGCGCGCGCACCTGGTTGTTGGCGAGGTTGAGCACGCGCAGGCGGCTGTGGCTCAGCAGCTTGGCGGCGGCGCGCGCGCCCCGGTCCCCGATGAGGTTGTGCGACAGGTCCAGCTCCTCCAGGGCCGGGTGGTCCAGGAGGCTGCGGATTAGGATGCGTGCCTTGTCATCATCCACCTTGCTTCGGGTCAGTCTGAAGATCTGTGGGCAGCAGGAAGAATGTGCCTACCTACATACCTCCCCCAGGTAGAAGAGGGACCGCCAGGAAGGCCGGAGATTCTGTTCTTTCAAGAACCTGGCTGTCCGGTGGCTGGGGTTCCGAGCTCCCAGTGTAGGGGGCTCAGATTAGATCCCTGGTATGGGAGGTGGATCCCACATGCTGCAATAAAGATAGAAGATCCCGCATGCTGCAGCTGTGTATGTGTGCTCAGTCCCTTCAGTCGTGTCCAGCTCTTTGCGACCCTATGACTGGGACTCCGCCAGGCTTCTCTGTCTGTGGGATTCTCCAGGCAAGAATACTGGAGTGGGTTGCCATGCCCTCCTCCAGGGGATTCTCCTGATCCAGGGATCAAACCCACGTCTCCTGCGTCTCCTGCATTGCAGGATTCTTTACTGCTTGAGTCATCAGGGAAGCCCATGCTGCATATGGACCCATCCAAATAAATAAATAAAAAGAGAGAGAGAGAGAGAAGAACTTGGCTGGGAAGTGGGGAGAGGCGGAGCAGTAAGGGAGAAAGGATTCAACCACCTGGCTGGCTTTTGGGCAGGGCAGGTCTACCCAGAATGACAGTGATGCAGAACTGGTGGCAACTGGTAGGGAAAGGACTACCCCTTATTGAGTTATGACTACGTGCTGGGCATGCTGCTGCAGCATTCCATAGCTGTGCTCTCTAACCCTCAGCATCCTAGTGAGATCGAACAAGTTCTCTGCATTTTACAGGAGAAATGGAGGCTTTGAGCGGAAACGTCATTTGCCCATAGTCACACGGTGATTAAGCCATGGAGGCAGGTTTTGAATTCAGGTCTGTTGGATGAGTCAGCCTTTCACTGCACTCTCCTAGACTTTTGTGAGGTGATACCCCACTCTAGTTTTGATTTGCATTTCTCTAACAATTAGCTAAGTTGAGCATCTTTTCATGTGCCTGTTGGCCATCTTTGGAGAAACGCCTAGGTCTTCTGGACATTTTTGGATTGGGTTGTTCTGTTGTTGTTATTGAGCTGTATAAGCTGCTTGTATGTTATGGAAATTAAGCCCTTGTCTGTTGCATTGTTTGCAAATATTTTTTTCCCAGTCTGAAGGTTCTTTGTTTTATGGTTTCCTTTGCTGTGCAAAAGCTTATGCATTTGATTAGGATCCATTTGTTTTTGTTTTTATACATTGGTTTTAAACACATGCAAGTTTCTTCTTAAGGAAACCCAAAGCCCTCATCTGTTACTGCTCTACCTTTCTCTCCTTTCACAGCCAAGTTCTTGAAAAAGCTGATCTGTCTCCTCACTTTCCACTCTCTCCATGAACGCCTCTGATCTGGACTCTGCTCCTGGCACTCCACTGACATATCTTCCCCTCGGTGACCTCCAAGTTTGCTACATCCAGTCCTCAGCTCCACCCCACCCCACCGCTGCTCATCCCTCATCTTGAAATGCCTCCCTCCATAGGCTCTATGATACAATGCCATGTCCTCCTTTTCCTCCCCCTCTGATTCTTGGCATGCTCTCCTTCTTCCAACCAGAATATTTGGGACATACTTAACCTAAAAAAAAAAAAAAATTCATTGTGTATCTGAAATTCAGATTTAACTGGACATCCCGTATTTTTATTGGTAAATCTGGCAACCCTATTTGAGTTGCAATTTCGCATTTATATGATTGCTGATTAGTGCCTTTTATCCCCACCAGATTGTCAGCTGGAGAGCACATATGGTCTAATTGTGCTCATTGTGGAATCTTCAGCACCTAGGACAGGGCCCGGGGTGCAGTTGAGTGTTGGATAAATAGCTGGTGAATGGGCTGGGCAGAACCATGTGCGTTTCTGCATTCCCAGAACCCAGTCTGGTCCAGGGCCACCAAGGACACTTGGTCAAGGAGCGCGAAGGAAATAGGAGCAAGAAGGTGGTGATGGAGGAGGAGGGGAAGGGGAGAGGGACTCAGAGAGACGCTGAGAATGGGAGGTGGGGGGAGGCGGGAGTAGGTGATACCTTGAGGGTGTGGCAGGCCTTGACAGTGGCCGCCAGGGAGTGGCAGTCGCGGTAGGTGAAGAGGAAGAGGTTCCACTCAAAGTTCATGCCACAGTCCTTGACACCGTATACCAGGTCCAGCTCCTCCAGATGGCTCAGGCCAGCCACCAGGTCGTCCAGTTGATAGTGGTCCATGGCCGGTTCCTCCATCTCCCCTTCGCTGCCGGAATCGGATTGATCCCCGCCTCGGGGCGGGGCTGGGAGCTGCATGGGCGGAAGGAACTGATCCACCCGGACAGCGCGCACGTAGTTCCTGCAGAGTGGCAGCAGGCTGAGGATCACCGCGGGGTCAGTGGTGTTCGGGATGAAGTGTTTCAGCAAGTTCTCCAGGTGCAGCTCAAAGAACATGCGCTTCCAGCTGCCGCCGTGATTGTCCACGTGGCACACGGGCCACCGCTGCGTGCAGCAGCGGCGCCAGTAGCTCTCATCATCGATCAGGTTGGCGGTCACAGCCAGCGGCAGGTCAGGAGACAGGTGGTTCAGGACCTTCTTCTGATGCTCTGGGAGCAGCTGCTTCAGGATGGGGTTGTCTTTGGGAGCAAGAATAGGCAAATAGGAGGCACAGTGTTGGGGACACTGCACTGTGGTACCCTGGGCTCTGCCTGTCTGTCTGGGGGCACCCAGGAAAGGGGAAGACCCTCCTCTGCCTTCAGAGAGCCCCAGTCTGTGAGAAGAGATAGCCTTCATTCTCAGGGAGGCTTGATCTGAGGAGGGACACACCATTCCTGACTCTGGAGTGGTCCTGGTTGAAGGTGGATATCTTACCATCTGGTCTCAGGGAGCTCTCTGTCTGAGACAGAATCCCAGGTCCAGCCCTCAATTTTTCCTTAATCTAGTAGAGGAGGTAATTCCTGACTTCAGAGGCTCCCAATGTGATTTGATTCATTCATTTCAAAACAAAAACCTTTTTTTTTCTTTGAGCACCTACTATGTACCACAGGCTTCCCAGTTGGTGCTAGTGATAAAGAACCTGCCTGCCAATGCAGGAGGAGACATAAAAGAGGCAGAGACATGGGTTTGATTCCTGGGTCAGGAAGATTCCTTGGAGGAGGGCGTGGCAACCCACTCTAGCATTCTTGCCTGGAGAACCCCATGGACAGAGGAGCCTGGAGTGCTACAGTCCATAGGGTCACAAGGAGTCAGACACGACTGAAGTGACTGAGCATACACACACACACTACGTACCACGTGCTATCCTTGCATCCTAAGTGCTGAGGATACAAGAGTGAATAAAACAGAGGGAGGTGCTCCATCTTACTAGTGGAGGCAGACTGTAAACAAGTCACATGAATATATTGTAGGCCTGGTGGTGACAGGTGCCGTAGATAACATGATGGCCCTGTCCTCAGAGAGCTCCCCATCTGGTAGGAGAGGTTGGTGACTCTTCTTTGAAAAGGATGACCATTAACAGAGACTAAAGTACAGGACAAACCAAGGATCTATACATGCCCATAGAAGACTCCAAGCGAGTGGAGGATGGTCAACCAGGGAGGGCTTTCTAGAGGAGGAGGTAGATGTGGTTTGGGCCAGGCTTTGTTGGAGAGAGTCGGAAAAGTAAGGAGCAGGCCTAGATATGGAGGGCACAGTGCGGGATGGGGGAGGTGTGTGGTGGGGCCTGGAAGTGGGGATGGCTGGAGAAACTGACTTGGCCTCAGGGTAGGGGGTAAGGGAGGAGGTGAGTGGGGATGAGGACATTTTCCTAAAGGAAATCAGTTCTGAATATTCACTGGAAGGACTGATGCTGAAGCTGAAGCTCCAATACTTTGGCCACCTGATGCAAAGAGCTGACTCATTAGAAAAGACCCTGATGCTGGGAAAGATTGAAGGCAGGAGAAGGGGATGACAGAGGGCGAGATGGTTGGATCGCTTCACCAACTCGATGGACATGAGTTTGAGCAAGCTCTGGGAGATGGTGAAGGACAGGGAAACCGGGCGTGCTGCAGTCCACCGGTTTGCAAAGAGTCAGACATGACCGAGGGGCTGAACGAGACAAGGGGACATTGTAGGAGAGGGCAGGGGCTGCCCCCAGACCCGGCTCTGAGGCCTGGCCTCCAGGCAGTCCCCTCCCACCCTGCCCCACTCCTAGCCTTCTCTCCTCCAAGCGAGGAGGGGACAGACTCACTCTGGAAGTTCTTGACAATGTGCTGAATGCAGAGCTCTGTGAGGAGGGGCACAATGGCCAGCGACCACTCAGCGTCCTCAGCGATGATCCTGCGCATCCGCCGGACCCCAGACCCAGAGCCTGGGCCCGTGGACTTCACCAGGAGGGGGATAATCGGGGTGGGCTTTGAGGGCTGTGGGCCTGTGCTCGAAGTTTGGCCCACAGCGGAAGACCGGTCCTGGGTGGAGGTTGAGGACCGGCTTAGGACCGACGGAGACTCTGTTGTCCGGGTCTCCTGCATGCTGGGGGCTGGCAACACAGGGCCAGGTGGCCCCCTGGTGATGGGCACGTGACGGGGAGCTTCTCAGACAGGCAGATCCTGGGTGCTGGCGGGAATCTGGAGAAAGAGAAGCAGGGAGAGCTGTTATTTTGGAGGGTTTCGGTGGGCATTTACCAACAGACATAGCACAGGGTGGTTCTGAAGGGCCAGTCTCTGGACTAGAGCAGGTCCAGGTGTAAAGCCCACCAGCTGGGTGGCCTTAGGCCGGTTATTGAAGCTTTTTGAGTTTCAGATGCTTCCCCTGTGAAATGAGGATAGCAGTTACCAATAAGATGATTGGGAAGAGTGACTAAAATAATGCATCCAAAGAGGCATAGCTTTCCGTGACACACGAAGCTGTAGCAAGCAGCAGAGCCACATTTCAGACAATAATAGCTACGCGGTAATTACGAGCAATTGCTGTATGCTGTCCCTTTTTTTAGTTTTTTATGCATATCAGCTCATTTGATTCTCACAGAAGCCTTTTTGAGATAGGCGCTGATGGACTAATTTTTTTCAGATGTGAAACTGAAGCTCAGAGAGGTTAACTGAGTTGCCTAAAGTCACACAGCTTATGTATAACAAAGGTGGATTAAAACTCAGCCTATGGGGACTTTCTTGGTGGTCTTGTGGTTAAGAATCTGCCTGCCAGTGCAGGGGATATGGGTTCTATCCCTGGTTGGGGAGATCCCACATTCCACAGGGCAGCTAAGCCCATGTGCCCACTCTCCACAGCTGGAGAAAGCCCCAAAGACCCCGTACAGAAACAAAGACCCCATACAGCCAAAAATTGGTACATAAACAACAACAACAACAACAACAACAACTCAGTCTGTCAAGTTCAGCCAAAAGGCTGAGGTATGATAAACATTTAGTTTGAAACAGCTCCCTGCCACTAAGCATTTTACAGAAAAACAACTGCCTAACCAGAAGGAAGGGATGAAGAACAGTACTGGCCAACTGAAGTATAGAAATAGAAATAGAATGGCTGCCAAAATGTAAGCCACATTTACTATTTAAAATTTTCTCCTATAGACATTAAGAAAGGAAAGAGAAAACAAGTGAAATTAACTTTATGTTTAACCCAGTATGTCCAAAATATTTAAACATGTAATCAATATAAAAATTATTATCTATATAATTATTAGGTATATGTATTTAAACCTTCAAAATCTGGTGACTAGTGGCTCCCGTTTTAGGCAGTGCAGGCCAGAAGGGAAGGCTAGGGAAACCGGACCCATACCCTGCCCAGGGCATCAGCACCTTCTCCTCTTCCCTCAGTGGGCTTCTGCTTGCCCCTCCCTCAATCTTCCCATCCCAGTCTTCTTATTTCTCCCAGGCTCCGGGCATTCCAGACAAGCGGCAGCGGGAAAGTGTGGGAGGCTACAAGGCAGCTAAATCTGGGGCTGAAGACAGAGGGTGTATCCGGGCGCGCCATCACCCCGTTTGTCCATTCCTGCACCCATGCTGCAGTGTCCCCACTCCCCCCAGGACCTCGGGAAGAATAGGGTCTGCTCAGCCCAGCACGGAGCTCCCGCTCTGGGTTTGCTCCCCGACTCCATGCACCGGGTAGTGGCTGGTGGGCAGGAACACTGTGAAACCAGCAAAGGTGTCCTAGGCAGATGGAGGGGACCAGATGGTGCTCCCCAGTCCTCCAGGCATCTCAAGGAGGAAGAGCCTGGCTGTGTGAGTGTGTGTGTGTGTGCATGTGTGTGTGTGTGTGAGGGGGAGAGAGGGAGAGAGAGAGAGACGGAGGCAGGAAGGGGCAGTGTAAGGAAGATATCTATGTATTTTGGTGACACACTTATGCAAATAAAATGCAAATTGACAGACAGATTGGGTCCATGCATTGTGGGACAAGCAGCTGGCCTTTTTGACTCATGCTCCCTCCAAGGGTATGGCTGGGAGGGGATGTTGCTTGGAGGCCCCAGATGACTTTGCATTTCTGGCTCTGCCAGGCACTTGCTGTGTGACCTTGGCCAAGTTACTTGGTCTGAGTGCCAGTTTCCTTATCCGTCAAAGGGCACAGTAATATCTTCCTATGCAGGCTTTGTGGAGATTCCCCTGAGATAATACTTGGATCATATTCATAGTATTTGACGAGTGGGATTTCTCTGGTGGTCCAGTGGCTAAGAATCCGCCTTGCAATGCAGGGGACACAGGTTTGATCCCTGGTCAGGGAAGTAAGATCCCAAGTGCTCTGGAGCAATTAAGCCCACACAACCGCAAAAAACCAGTGTCCATGTGCCGCAATGCAAGATCCTGCGGGAGGCAATGAAGGTACTATGTTCTGAATAAATAAACATTTTAAAAAGTTTTTGGCAGGAGTACCAGAGCAGATGTGTGGAGGATGGAGGCATTCTGAGGGACAGGGGTTTGGGCTGGGGAGGGAAAGCCCTAGAGACCTGCTTCTGAGTACTAACCTGAGATGGTGTCTTTGAGTGAGGTGCTTCTCTTCCTCCAGGGGACACGTGAGGGCAAGGAGGTGGTGATGTTCAGGTCTGGACAGGACGGGGTGGGGGTAGAGGGCTGGCAGTCTGGGCCAGAGGAGGAGGGTAGGGACAATAGGCCAGCTCTGCTCCTGCCAGCTCCGTGTCTGGACGCCTGTGTTCTGGTCTAACACATTCCAGTATTCCCCTTGGTCCCGGATGCAACCCAGGACAGCCTTTGGGCCATGCCTGTGGGAGCAGAACCTAGCATGGCTCTCCAGGCCTCTCTCACAGAACTGCCTAGCCTCACCATCCTGCTCAATGGTCCCTTCTTCCTCCCGGGAAGCCACATGTTGGGAGACCCCTCCTGGGGCCTAGCGGGGTGCTCCCTGGAACAGGGTGGCCCTGTTCTCACCGTCTAATGCCTCACTGTCTTAGGACCTGGCTCCTCAGGTCTGGTCCTAACTGCCTGGCTGCTGTTTGGAGCCCGCAGCCTTCTCTGGTAGGACGCTTCATGACCTGCCCGGGGCCTGGTCCAGGGTCCTGAGCCATCGCCTCAGAAGGAGGGGACAGGAGTGGCCCTGCATGTGCTCCACGTGCTTGGCTGGTATAAACAAGAGCCCCTACTGTCCCATGACATTCACAGAGACCTCCATACCCCAAGGTCTGATGTCATTTTAAAGGCAAATGTTGATAATGTTAACCTCATAATAAGATCAGATTGGTAGTTTTCACTTATCACGTCTTGATTTTAAAAAAAAACTCAACATCACAGAAATATTTTTGGCAAGCAAATTGTTACCAGACAGAGGAATCTTCTAAGAAGGCTTTTAGTTCCAAATGTTTTTTTTATATATATACCTAAAAGAATCAATCAAATATAAAACAGAGTATGTTTCGAAGGATAATGAGCATGATGAACTCTTTGCCTGCCAGTTACTAATGTTACAAAGATGGTATCAAGTCACGCGCCCAAACCTGTTCTTCTCAATCACTGCTTGGATGCCGCTCTTTCAACTCTTCCCCCGGGCTCTCGGATATTCTCCAAAGGCTTCCAACACAGGCTCCTCTGACTCTGCCCATCCCTCAGGGTTGAGCCTTGCCTGCCCTGTTCCTCCTCTTGCTGGGCTGCAGCTCCCCTGTCTCCTCTGAGCTCCAGACTCACAGTCACTGGCCACCTAGAGGCTCCTGCAGATGCAGTCTGCCCCCCAAGAGCACTCCATGCCTCCGCCAAGGCTCTCCTCCTCCTGGCTGCTTACCTTGGCCAGAGGCATCAGGAGCCATCCAGGTGTGTGAACCTGGAAGCTGGGGACTCACCTCTCTCCTTCAGTACCAACCCCCCGACCTGGTCACGGCAGTGTCCCCTCAGTTCTGACTCCCTTCCCGGCGGTCCCTCCTCTCCCTTCCTGCTTGGCCCCAGCGCAGGGCCTCATTGTCCATTGTCATTGTAGCTGAAGCTTCCCCGCACCTGGGTGTGTCATCCAGCACCCAGCCTTCTCACAGCTGTCCTGGCAGGCCCCTGGGTAAGCCCCTGGCTCCTCAGCTCAGTGCAGAAGGCCCTCCATGGCCGGATGCTCTGAAATAAACCCCTCTCTGCATCTCGAACACAACAGGCTAATCTGTGCCACCCAGCCTTTGCTCAAGCCACTCTTTCTGCCTGGAAGGCCTTTCCTGCAGTCTCTGCTGGGGAAAGCAGACCAACACTGGTATTTTGAGCCTGAACTCAAGCACCATTTCCTCTCTGGAGCCTTTGGCTTTTCTTCTCTCCCCCCTTCCCTTTGTCAGATCCTCAGCACCTGTGTCGCGTCAATGGACTAACGAACCTCTCCTCACCCACAATGGACTGTGGACTCCTCCAGGTGTGGGGACTATTTCTATTTTTTTTTTTTTTTACTGCACCATGTGGCATGTGGGATCTTAGTTCTCCAGCTATGGATGGAACCCAGGCCCCCTGCATTGGGAGCATGGAGTCTTAGCCACTGGACCGCCAGGGAAGTCCTCTTTCTTACTCATTTTTTTCTCTCTAATCCCTAACCTGGTGTCAGGTCTGCCAGGGAAGCAGCTGGTGTTCTGGGCTGCCCCACCTCCCTCTGATCACAGATTCTGGCCAATAGGAGTGCCCTGTATTGGTCAGAGCAATTGGTTCAGGGGTGCACCTGATATAAGCCAATCAGAGTCCTTCCTGGGATCTGTCCAAGTGGAGGAAGACAGGACACATGTCCTTGAAGGATACAGATCCCCTGCTGCTGGAAGCTGTTTCCCTTCACACGGAAAAGGCTGGTCTGCGGCAGCAGGAGGACGTGCCGCCTGGTGGAGACCAGCAGGAGAGGGAGGACAGACGGTACCGCGCACCTCCCATCCCCAGTCCTCATCGCTGAAGGCCCTCTGATGGCCTCCTTCAGTTCTGACACCTGACTTGATGGCCTTCTAGCAAGTCTCTCTTGCTGAAGCTAAGAATTGGGTTTCTGCTCCTTTGTGACCAAAAGGTCCTCACTATCTGGGTAGGCTTACTGTCTTGTGAATGAAATTATGGGAACAATTGCAAATCAGTAGATGAACTAGTTCAAGAGGATGGCCTGAAGCTGCCTGGCTGTTCCTCATGTCTAACTCTGGTGGCCTTTTCCTCTCCTGACCACCCGAGCCTCCAACCCCACCTCCCATCTCTTTGTTGACAGCATCACCAACGTACAACGGCTCAGCACTTAAAAAGTTACAAGCTTCTGGGACTTTCCTGTTGATACAGTGGTTAAGAATATGTCCTGCAATGCAGGGGACATGGGTTCGATCCCTGGTCAGGGAACTAGGATACCACATGCTGCAGGGCAGCTAAGCCCATGAGTGCAACTAAGACTGGATGCAGCCAAACAAATAAATATTAAAAAAAAAAAAGTTACAGCTTCTTTTAGAATGTTTCTCTTGTTAGAGTCTTATTCTACAGTGGAGTCAGGGCAGGCTTCTCAACCCCATTTTATGGATGAAGAAACTGAAGACAAGACCAGGAAATAACTGGCCCCTGAATAAATCGGAGGGCTGGGGCCGGATTAGGAGCTTGGCTGCCCTAACCACAGTGCCCTGCTCTTCCAGTCTTTTCCATCTTCCACTAGAAAAGAGCCTGTTCTTGTTCCCAGGGGAGCAGGCATCCTGTCTTCACTGCAGAGAGGATGTGTCAGGGAGGGTCTCCCCAGGCTGGAAGAGCAACTAGGTCCGTGGCACCCCACGACGGGAATTTCAGGCCCCTGACAAAAGACATACCTGTCATAGTAAAACACATTTCCTCCCAAATGAAACGAAATCTTAATAGTCTGTACATGTGTGTATATATCCCTGTGTGAACCCTGCACTGCTATTTATTTAATTTTATTTTGTGATTGCACAGTGGGGCTTACGGGCTCTTAAGTTTCCTGATTGAGGGAACTAAGGGATTGAACCCAGGCCACAGCTGTGAAAGGGTTGAGTTCTAACCAGTGGACGGCCAGGAATGCCCGAGTGAGTGCTTCTTGTGCACACCCTGCCCTCAGATGGGGCAAGTGGGGGCAACCAGTGACCCTTCATCTCCTGACACCTGTAGGTCATGGATCACTGGGGCCTCACATGCAATGTCGCCAACATCAACCCTGCCACAAGCCCTGAGAAAAGGTGACTCCTCCTCCCCCTCCCCCCGTCCCCGCTGTGTCCCCAGGCCCAGCATCCAGGTCCTGAAATAGTTCGTAGCTCACAGGGTTAAGTGTTAGGGTTTGCTCTCTACATGCCCAAGCACAGGCAATAGAAAGGGACGAGATGTCCCAGTTTGGGCAGGGCTGTCCTCATTTTTGATGGTGGACAAGTGTTCCGTGAACCACCTCCTTGTCTATACATAGCTCTGATTTATTGTATTCTAGGCCAAAGTGGCTCAGTGGTAAAGAATCTACATGCCAAGGTAGAAGACACAGGTTAGATCCCTGGGTCAGGAAGATCCCTGAGAATTCCATGGACAGAGGAGCCTGGTGGGCTACAGTCCATGGGGCTGCAAAGAGTTGGATGTGACTGAGCATGCACGCATGCAGCGGCACGGCAGGCCGTCAGTAGTGTGTGCACAAAAGGAGGCAGCATAAGAGCCAGCTCAGGATTCAGGAGTTACACCGCCTGAGGTCCAATCTCCACTCTGTCCCTAACATCTGGGAGAACCTGAAGTCATGCAACCCCACTAAGCCTCCATATCTTTATCTGTAATATGGGATAGTAACTGGGGTTCCTACTTCATGAGATTATCCAGAGGATTAAAGGAGCTAATGTGTGAGCATGCTTGTGTGCTAAGTCGCTTCAGTCGTGTCTGACTCTTTGCAACCCCATGCACTGTAGCCCGCCAAGCTCCTCTGTCCATGGAATTCTCCAGGCAAGAATACTGGAGTGGGTTGCCATTTCCTCTTCCAGGGATCTTCCCAACCCAAGGATTGAACCTGCATCTCTTGTGTCTTCTGCACTGGCAGGCAGGTTCTTTACCACTAGTGCCACCTGGGAAGCCCTAAAGTGAAAGTGTTGTCACTCAGTCATGTCTGATTCTTGGTGAGCCCATGGACAATAGCCCACCAGGCTCCTCTGTCCATGGAATTCCCCTGGCAAGAATACCGGAGTGGGTTGCCTTGCCCTTCTCCAGTGGATATTCCCAACCTAAGGACTGAACCTGTGTCTCCTGAGTCTCCTGCATTGCGGGCAGATTCTTTAATGTCTAAGCCACCAGGAAACATGTGTGAGACATTCCCTATAGTTTTGGGCCCAGAGCCAACACTCAAGGTAAGTATTAGATATCATAACAAAGATGTTAGATGCTGTACCTATATAAGCCTATGAAATCTTCAGACTTATTGACAAATATTGTTATTATAACACTATTATCCTCATTTCACAAACAGGAAAACAGAGGCTTAGAGAACTTAAGTAACTTGCTAAGCATCACAGTAAATGGAGAAGCTGAGCTCTGAACCAATGTCTGTCCAAAGCTGTCCCTCACTTCCCTGCACAAAAAGCAGAGACAAATCACGGGATGTTGGCATTGCTTCCTAAATTGCCCAGACTCAGTTGTCACGGTACTTTTCCAGTGGGCTTCCCACTCTCTCCTGTGGGAGCCTGGGTCACCGTCATTGGTGCTGAGCTGAACAGCCCAGGCTCCGTCACAGGGCCTTTCTGCAGAACTGATGATCACTTCAGGTTTTGAGGCCCCAGGAGGACCAAGAGATACCACAGAGCTGTGCTCTCCTGCCCCATGGCCCACACTGGGCCCTCCATGTTCCTCCCAGACCTAGGGTTCAGTGCTTGAGTCTCCCGCACCTTCCCTCCTCTCAAACGTCTCAGACCTCCTCCTTCTTTCTCAAGTGCCCAGTTAAATCCAAACACTTTGGGCAGAGGCTCCACCTGCCTGCCCAAATGGGAACGTTGAAGATGCTAGGGGAGGGGAAGTCCTCTCCCCTTTCTGCTCACGTCATCCCTGGTCCTCACCTCTCTTCCTCTGAACTGAGAAGGTGTGCCAGGCCTTCCTGAGGTTCTGTGAGGACCTCTGTGGCCGTGGACATCCCTTCTTGGGGACTGGGCTTTGACGTCCCTTACCCCCCAGCTTCTCTGATGGTGCTTCCTGCTTTCTCAGTCAGCTGTTCCTCAGGGCCCTGGCTTTTGTCTACATTTCTCCAGTCCCTATCCTGCCTACTGTGTCAGACTTCACCTCAGGGCAAGTCATTCCCATTTGGGAATTCAGAGTTTATGGAATCACAAAAGAGGGGCAAAAAAGTTTCCCTGACAGAGTTCTAGCCCAGCAACCCTGGTCTTTTGCTGGTGAGACAGTCTGCACACTTATCACACCCCTGGGCCAGGCTTTCCTCCCAACTGCCCACTTAGGTCTGTTGTCTTAAAAAAGAACTCCACCCTCATCCCTACCTTTGATTCAGACACCCCACCAGGGAAGCTCAGCTCCAAAAGCCAGCAAGTCCCTCCCCAACCCGCCTGGGGGTGAAGGGGCCCTCCTTCTCTTTGGTGACCAAGGATAATCAGCTTTGTAGTGGGAGGGAGTGAGGGTAGAAGTGTCTGCATCTGCGGGAAGGACGGCAGCCCCAGGAGCTGGGAATAGAGATCGGTCTTTCCAGGAAGGCTGAGGCCCCAGAACTAGGGACTGCTCTCCCCCATGACCGACTCTCACTCCACTTTCTCCTTCTCTATCTTGGGTGACCCTCCCTCCCGACTCGCAGGCCCTGGGCCAGTTTGCAGGGGCCATAGCGAGGAAGGAGGCACGGTCGGTCAGCTTCATATGGGGGTAGGGGCCTCCCATAGGTATAGGCCGGCCCTTCCTTCTCACGGGAGCCAAGGCTGCGGCCACCTGCAGACTTCGGCCGGGTGGGCTGACTCTGGGGCGGGGGGTGCTCCCGTGCCCTGTGGGGGGAATGGGGGCAGAGAGAGCTCAGCCCGCTAGGGGAGACTGGGGCCGGGTGTTCTCTCTCCAGAGGTTGCCTCACCGCTCCCGAGACCTGGGCGCTCACCTTCCCGCAGGCTCCCACGCAACGCCGGTTGTTAGGGACGCCGTGCATCGCTAGCGGGCGGGGCTTCGAGGGCGGGTGCGCATGCGTCCTCCCGCAAGCTGGTTTACTCGGCTGTGCGCTGTGGAGGGCAGGGCTGCCGGGCTTCGATGGTTGTCGCCGCGCGCCTTGGCCCAGGATCGATGCAAATACGTGTCCCCATCTAAGGCACTGTGTGAGGACAGTGCAGTGGGGGCTCTGGCCGCGGGACATGCTCTGTGCGTCCTGGGGACATGTTTAGGAGCAGTGGGTTTCTGCGGGGAAAGGGGGGAGCTGGGGATGGGGCAGGGCGCCTGGACTGCGACGGGGCTCTTCCTTCTCGGGGGCCTTTTGTGTGAAAATGGAGGTGGGGATGACGAGTGGAAAGACGGTCCAGGAAAAGCACCAGTGGCCATTCTCTTCCGGAAGAGGGCTATGGAAGGGCACGTGCAGTTCTTGAACTCCCCTGAGGCCCTCGGCTGACCCCTGGCTGCAGCATCCCTTTGGAGCCAGCTCGGCCTTTCTCCAGGCTGTCAGCAAGGCTGAGTGGCACCAGGCAGAAGACCCCAAGCCTCCACAGCCCTAAGCCCAACACCAGGAATGACCAGCTTCTGTGAAATGACCAGCTTTCATAGAAAAGGAAATAGTCCTTCAAGATGGGAAGAACCACCAAGGGTGGTGGGAAGTTTCACTGGAGGCAAAACTTAAATTTCAGTTCTGCTGATTTTACTAGCTGGGTTACCCTGGATAAGTTGCCACCTTATAAATTCAGTTACCTCCTCAAAAAAACCCAGTATCCTGACTGTGGTGACTGTGTGTTAAGAGCCAGGCCTTCCGTCAGTGCACTGAACAGTGGCCACTGCCACAGTTGCTCAGATCCCAAGAGGAAGTCTTGCAACCTCTTAGGACTGCAGGCAGCCAGAGGCCAGGGGCTCCAGGCCCCTTTCAAGCCCTCATCAGTTATTTACCAACTAATCATCACTGCCTCAATTAGAATGAGAAATCACACAAGAAATACTGTCAGGAAGGCCTGCTCTGCTCCAAAATTTTGACTAAAGGGCCCAGAACTTTGCAGCCAGGGAGGCTCTGACTTGGGGATGGGTCCTCCAAGTTCCCCTTCCTTCATCCAGCAACAGAGATCTTCAAACAGAGGTGTCTGGCTTGGTCCCGGGTGGATTCACTTTGGGAGGGAAGGACAACTGCCCTCCATTCCACACTTTCCTTCTGCTCTGAGCTGCCAATTTCAGCTTCAGCTCAGGTTTGGGGCAGGTGCTTTGCAACTTGTTTTAGAAGAGAAGGCTTGGAAAAAAAAAAAATAAAAGAGAAGGCTTGGGACTGCTCTGGTGGTACGGTGGGTGAGAATCTGCCTGCCAATGCACGGGGTTGAATCCCTGGTCTGGGAAGATTCTACACGTCACAGAACAACTAAGCCCGTGCGCCACGAGTGAGCCCACATGCCCCAGAGCCCATGGTCCACAAGAGAAGCCACCACAATGAGAAGCCCATGCACTGCAACAAAGAGTAGCCTCCACTCGCCCCAACTAGAAAGCCTGCAGGCAGCAGTGACGACCCAGCACAACCAACAATAAATTTTTTTTAAAAAGTTGTTTAAAAAAAAAAAAAGAGTAGGCTTGCTTTGGCTCTGCCCCCTTCTGACCCCAAGACCTGCACCTGCCCCTCAGGCCTCGGCACTGACTCTGCCCTCAGAAGTCCACGGGGCTCACACCCTCCCAACCCGTCTGCTCTCTCCACAGATCTCACCCCCACCTGATACCTTCTTCTTTCTCGTCATTGCTGTTTCCCCATGGGAAGAAAGCTCCACAAGGGCAGGAAGCTCTATTTGTTTCTTGCCATAGTCCCAGCATCTGACCAGCACCTGCTGGCTTATTTGTTTGGCTCTGTTGGGTCTTAGTCATCCCCCGACCAGGGATCAGACCCAAGCCTTCTGCACGGGGAGCGTGGAGTCTCAGCCACTGGACCACCAGGGATGTCCCTGTTGGCCCATTTTATCAACAAATCATCAGAGCCTTCATTAAAATGAGAAGTTGTTAATGAAGTAAGTGACACCAGAGAGGATCTGCCCACCTCTCATGACTTTCACATGACAGTTTTCAATCTTGGCTAGGGAGGCCTTTGTGGGCGCTCAGAACAGGCTGGCACAGCGGGCTTGGCCAAGCGCTTGTGGTGGTGATGAGGGGAGTTCAGATCTGGATGCCAGGTGGCCTTTCAGTCCAGTGTGAGGGGTCAAACTAGGGATGGGGCACCCATTCCAGGTTGCTGAGAGGGGAAAGGCTGCCTTTTTTTAGGTAAAAGAATGTCCTGGAGCTTCCTGTATGTGTGTGTACCGAGTTGCTTCAGTCGTGTCTGGCTCTTTGCAACCCTGTAGACCATAGCCTGCCAGGCTCCTCTGTCCATGTGATTCTCCAGGCAAGAATACTGGAGTGGGTAGCCATTCCCTTCTCCAGGGGATCTTCCCGACCCAGTGATCAAATCCTGGTCTCTTACGTCTCCTGCATTGGCAGGTGAGTTCTTTATGATTAGCGCTAGCTGGGAAGCCCTCTGGAGCTTCCTATCCTGTGAAATACATTTTAATGAACAATCACAGCCAGAACAGCCGTGTGCGTCTCCACCTCCACCTTGCGGGGTCTATGTTCAGGCTCACTTCTGTCTTCCCCAGCCCCCATCTTCTTGTGTCTGTGCAAGTCCCAGCCCAGGGCACCCTCTTGGCACAGCTGCTTGGCCTCCAGACTTGAGTCCTCTGCTGAGCCTCCGGGGAGGTTCTGCCGGCTCCTTCAGGGCTCCAGGCACTGCCCTGGCCGCAGTCTCTTCAGCGTGTGTGAGTCCCTGCGTGAGCCCGGTCAGAGCTGGTTGAGGGCATAGGCTCGGGCTGTGCTGAGGGCAGCTTCCAGGTCAGCAGTGCTTCCAGTGCCCTGGGCCACCACTCGAGAGCCCCAGGCTTTGCCCCCCATGTGGCTGCACACGGCCAGTGCCCAGGCCTCTGCTGTGAAGGCCGGTGTGGCACTCTGGGGACAGAACCAGAAGGGGCAGTGATGCAGAGCAGCCCTCCCTGCCCCGCCCACTGAGTGTTCCCTGGAGAGTGGAGTCACAGTGAGCAGAGCCCTCTCCTGAGCTGGGCACATGGTGGGCGTGGGTAACTGGGTGAGGAGACAGGAGAGGGATGGGCTGGGAATGCATCCCTAGAGGTTGATGAATGGCTGCTACCTATTTGCAAGAGATATGCAGCCTGGAAGGTGGGGTGGTGGGAATTGAAGGAATCCTCTGAGGGTGGGGGGGGGACGGGGTGGGTTAGAGACAAGGAGATAGCCCTGTCCCCATCCTGGGGTATCCTCAGAGATCACCTCTACCCAGCCGTGGTTCTCTTGTGTGGGAGGAATAAAAGACAAGGGATCAGCAAGCTGGACTAGGAGATGAGTGGGGTGGGGCTGCCCTCCCCCCTCTCACCTGGGCCACCTGACAGGCACACAGCACCTGTCCCAGAGGCTGAGGGCTGAGGAGCAGCACGGATGTGCTGGGCGCCTGCTTACACAGCTGCCGGACCACCTTCACCAGCACCTGCAGGGGGCAGATGGCGACCTCGAAGCTCCCCGGACTCCCAGCTTCCTCCCTGCCAGCACTTTCCCCTCCCCACACCCTGGGCCCACCCCATACCCAACGCTTACTGAGAGGGACTCCGTGGAAACTGTGTCCACAATCAGGGGCCCCTCCGTGTGCCGCTGGAGCAGCTCCTGGGTTTTCTGTGCAGCCTGGGAAGCAGGAAGAACAGCGCAGAGGTCGGGCTGGGAAGCAATTGGGCCCCACTTCTGACCTGAGCCCCAGCCCAGAAATCCCCTCCCACGCCCTCCGTCCCCCAGCAAAGATGCCAGGGGTTCTGCCGGAATGGCCACCTTGTTTTGGGTCCCTTCTATGTCCTTCCTCTTCTCCTCAATCCTCCCTTTCCTTATAGCTCCAGGCTCCTACACAGGGGCCGCTGAAGGTGAAGGGACTAGGACTGGAGCGCAGATGGGCGAGGGGGGGCGGAGGGAGGAGGAGCTGCACTCAAGGAGCAATTAGGGCTGAATGGCGTAATCAAGTTAGCTTCTTGGAGGGAGACTCTGAGCCAGGCTTGGGAGTTGGGGGAGAGACCCAGTTTGGCAGAGGGAAGTGGGGGAATGACCTGATGATGGCACCCAGATGGCAGGAGAGGCAGCAACTGCCACCCACCCTCACTCCCCACCAGGCCTGGAGGTGTCTCAGCGTGGGTACTAGAGCATCTCTGATGCTCGCCAGGTGTGCCTGCTATCTGCCCCGTGGGGTGCAGCCAGACCCCCTCTCACCTGCCCTATTTCCAGTTTCCGGACGGCAGTGTTGGCACGCCGCTGCAGTGCCTTCAGTGTGGCCTGAAGCTCCCGCCGTTGCCACTGGGGCATTGTGGCGGTGTCCACGGCCTGTGGTCAGAAGCGGCATATCACTCCCTGGCCCCACTGAGTCACGGTCCCTGAGGCAGGGACCAGCAGGGCTAGGGAAGGGGCCACACACCCCCGCACGCCCCCTTGCAGACAAACAACAAACATCTGGGCTGGGGATGCTGGGGGGAGACAGGCAGGGTTGGGGAGGGGAACAAGGCCAGGCGGAGGGGGCAGCTCCACAGTGGGGGTGGCCCTCACATCGGTGAGTTGCCCGATGTCCTTGGATAGCCGATGCGCCTCCGCCACATCCCGGCTGCCCTGACTCAGCCGAGCTGCGGCTGCTTCCACCTCCTGGGCCAAGCTCTGGCCCACCTCCCGGGCCTGTAGGGAGGGCACAGGATGGTCAGGGCAGCGTGGCTTACCTGCCCTCCCCACGACAGGGGTTCTTGACCTATTGCTGGGCGGGGACAAGTTAGAAACATTTAACAATCAGGACTCATCAAGGCATCAAATGATGACAACAGATGCCAGCTGCCAGCAGCTGGTGTGGCTCAGTGCACAGGTATGAATCCTGGTTCTGCTGCTGGGCATTCCCCGGCCTGACCACATCAGCTGTGTGCTCCCTGCCCCATCCACACCCAGAGAAACCTCCCAGGCCCCGCTGGTGTGCTGACCTGCTGGGCCTGCTCCCCAGTGACGGCCAGCAGGCGGGTGATGCCCTTGACGAGCTGGCGCTCCCCGACGATGACCAGGTCTCCTATGGCCCCCGTGCGAAGCAGGTGCCTGTGGGCAGAGGAAGGGAGGAGGAAGTTTGGGGGATGATAGGAGAGAGAAGAGCAGCTGGAGCTCCAACCAGTGGCTGGTGGCTCCAGGGACAAGGGAAGGGAGGAGGTCCAGGGCCCCAGGCCAAAGTGGGCAGAGAGGAGAGACTCACGTCCCACAGCACAGCTCCACAGAGGTCTGCAGTGCGGCCTGGGAGGCTGGGTGCAGCGCATGGGCCACGGGCACCCCCACGGATACCACCCGCACAGGATCTGGGTACACCTGATGGTGAGAGGCGCAGGTCTGTGAACAGGCCTGTGAGTGGGGGGTGGTCACTCACACGATCTCCACCAAAGGGGCTCCCCCAACTCGCCTCATCCAGGGAGCGCAGGCCAGGGACGTGGGCAGTGCGTGCCAGAGCCACCTCCTCCATGTACACGGCCTCATCCCGCCCCACGGCCTTCTGCACAGTGCCCTCCACTGTCCGGAGCTGCTCTGGGGTCAAAGGAGCCTGGGGGATTGTTGGGGAAATAGACGGACAGGCAGTCAGCCCCGTGCCTGGGAGTGATGCACGATGAAGCACTCGATGTTCACTGAACTAGCCCCACGCTAGTACACAACAGTGAACACTGCCTAGTATATAACACGTCCTCAATACATTTGCAGAGCAGACAATTCTTTTCCTTAGAAAACGACCTGCGAACTGGGCCTATTGAAAGCAGCAGACCTTTCTTTCGCTAAGCACTGAAAATTGACCAAGAAACAGAAGACAGAGGCTCTGTACTTCAGGAGCTTACAAGGGGCAGCCAGTGGAAGAGAAATACAGGATGGGGGAGACGCAGGAGCAAGGAAGGAGTCATCAGGCGGAATGGGATTCAGTCAGTGAGCACTTCCTGCAGGATTTGAGCCAGATGGACATGGAGAAAGGATGACAGATAAGAAAGAGGGCAGCTCGGCTTGAGCAAGAACAGCCTGGGTGACAGCAGGGACAAGGAAGCCGGGTGGCTGAAGACCAAGAGAGGACCCCGGACACCGGCTTGCCTGACCCTTGCTGGTGCAGGAGGGGCCTGATGGGAAGCCCCCCACCCAAGGTCCCCCAGTGACTGAGCGAGGGGAGTCCAGCCCTCTTACTGGTCAGACTCCCACACCACCAGACTCTAAGCCCGGAACCTCGTGTGAAGGCTGCCTCTCCGTGCCCGGCTCACCTGCGTGGCCACATCGAAGCGCAGCCGCTCAGGATTGAGATGGGAGCCTCGCTGCTCTGTGCCGGGGCCCAGGGCCTGCCGCAGTGCCCAGCTGAGCAGGTGGATGGCCGTGTGCTTCTCCATGCAGCTCAGACGCCAGGCCTGAAATACTTCTGTCACCCAGGGTCCTGGGTGCGGGTGGGATGGGGAGGGAGATGGGGCTGCAGGACATGCAGAACAAAGAGCAGAGGTGGGGTCCTCACCTCATCCACGTGCAGCTGCACCTGGTCCCCCACCTTGAGGCACTCAGGGGCCACCACCTCATGCAGGATGAAGCCTCCGCAGACCTCGGCCCGAGCCACTGGGAAGAGCACGTCCTGGGGAAGGGCAGGACCAAGGCACTGACTGCCTGCCGCCTCTCCCTCCCCTTGGCTCCTTCCGGCTCAGAAGTCGGGAACGTGTGTGTGTGTGTGTGTGTGGTGGGCGTTGGGGGTGATGGTGGCAGTGGGGGGCTCACCTGCTGGCCCACCAGCACCAGGTAGCCTCGGTCGGAAGCCTGGCCTCCCTGTTCAGCGTAGAAGTTGGTTTTGTCCAAGAGGAGGCCACAGCGCTGGCCGTCCCCCACAGAGGCCACAGCTGTCCCATCCTCTGTATACAGCTGGAGCACCTGGGCCTCACAGGTGCTGAACTCTGCCAGGGCCGAGACCGCTCATCAGTGCCAGGCAGGGGCTTGGGCCCGCGCCTCCCTTGAAGCCAATAGTCAGGGGCAGGGGGGGCACTTCCAGCCGGGACCCACAGCGACCCCTGGCGGCTCCCCCGGGGAAGGCACAGGCCTGGTGGCTGATCTCTGTCCTCCCAATCACGGTCAGGAAAGCCGGTGGCCACCCGCCTCAGCCCAGCCTCTCACCGTAACCACCGCCCGGTCGCAGGGAGTAGCTGTACTTGGGGCTGTCATCGGTAGGGGGCACCCCGCGGCGCTGCAGCTCCCCCAGGGCGTGGACGTCGAGCCGCAGTCCCTGCTCCTGAACCGGCTCGGCCTGCAGCGTCCGGTGCTGTGGGACAGGCGTGTGTGCACAAGGGGGTGCGTGGAGATCCAGCTCCGCCACACAGCTTGTGCACCCCACACCCCCTCTGGGACAAGCCCTCGGGCTGGGCTGGCTGCTGGAGGCCCTGGGCTGGCTGGTCAACCTCCCCTCGTGCAGGGGTCTCAGGACCAGGACCCACTGCGGCCCCCGATGGCCCCTCTGAGGACACATGCTGGCCTCTCCCCTTCTGCTCCTCTGTGTGGCCCACTGCGCTGGCCTTCCTCTCCGCGGGCTGCGGGGGGTGCCTGAGCAAGCGGACAGACCTACCTCAGCCTCCCGTTTCCCTCTTCCCACAGGATCCCAGGACTGAGGGAGGGGCTGTGACCCAACAGAACCGGTGGGGCTCCCCGGCTGGTACCTGGGCCTCCTCCTGGGCCAGCCGCTCCAGTCCAGCAGTGTCCAGCGGCACCCCCTTCTCCTCCAGCATCAGCTCCACCAGGTCCAGGGGGAGCCCCAGGTTCCCAGACAGGGACAAGGACCAGGCCACTTCGGCTTTGAGGGAGGAAGATGAGAGGCGTCAGGGCTATTGAGGGAGGGAGGGCAGGGTGGAGGGAATCGGGAGAAGGCTTTTCTGACCAGAGAAGCCACCGGATGCCAAGCATACGGGCCTTCTCCCTGCACTGGGCAGCCCCAGAGGAGGGTCACCTTCAGGCTGCAAAGCAGGAGCTGGGGGCAGCCCAGGGTCCTCCCTTGGCAAATGTCACTTCAGAGGAGGAAAGTTCATTCTCGGCCTGCAGCCAGCCTTGGAAAGCAGCGGCCAGGGGCGGGGCTAGCTGGGCAGTGGGGAAAAGAGGAGAAGCCGGGGCGGTGGTGGAGAGAGTAGGTGGAGAGAGATGGGTAGTGGTGGAGAGAGTAGGTGGAGAGAGACGTCGGGGTGGAGATGTGAGGCCTGGGCTTGGCTCACCTAAGTGGGACCCTCACACCGTGGGCAGGCATCCTGCTCACCTGGGAATACGTCGGAAGGCCCCAGGCGCTTCAGGGTCCGCTCGATGACCCGCCGACCACGCTGCAGGGAGGCCAGGAAGGCTGCCTCATCCTCCGACACCAGGCTGGCTATCTGAACAGGGGCAGGGCAGGGCTGGAGCTGGGCCTCCTGAGAAGGAGAGCCTCTCCCCACCACTCTCGTCAGCCCCTTCCTCACCCACTCGAGTCCAGTACCTGGGCTGAGCTCCTCTGCAATTCTGGGTAAGCATCTCCCTGGGGACAGTGCAGAGGCCCGAGGCAGTGTCAAAGGCAACCAGCCCACTCTGCCCCTCCACCCTGGCCCTCCCTGGGGACACCTGCCTTGGGGGCTCAGAGAAGCTGATGGATGGGGGAAGGTCCAAATGGGGAATCAGCTTCTTTAGGGAGGGGCGGGGGTAATACAGGCAGAAGGGGGTCCTGAGGTCAAAGGCTCAGCAGCCTGGGCAAGGAGGCTCCCTGCTTTCTGTAAGCCCGCTGAGAAGACTCTGGGCTAGACACACAGGGTGGGGAACCCGGGCAGGATCACTGTTTCGGTTCACTGACAGGTTCTCCGAGTCCCCTGGGAGGCCCAGGGAAGCGACAAAGCTGTGCCCTTACCAGCGTCTCCACCACTGCAGGCACCAGGCTGCCCAGGAAGCCAGGTGGTGCCCGCAACACCTCAGTAGAGAACCGCACGGCTCGACGGAGGATCCGACGAAGTACCAGCCTAGAGGGGGTCAGAGCCCAGATACGAGCCCCCAGTAGCCCTGGGTCAGCAGCGGGGGGGAGTAGGGAGGGCACGACGCAGAGTGTATGCCCCCTTCCTCCTCCGCCTGCCATCTCAACCCCACTTGCCTCTTCATCCCCCTCCCTCCTCTCCCCTGCAGCCCCCAGAAACCCCTGCCCTTCACTGTAGCCCTTCCAGACTCACGGGGCGCCAGACATCCCAGGGGAGACGCCGTCGGCAATGCAGACACTGAGTGTGCGGATGTGATCAGCAACCACGCGGTATGCTGTGTCTGTGCGCCCCTCGTCTGCTGCCCCAACGCGGCCTGAGTAAGGGGGTGCCCCGCAACCCTGGAAGCAGGAGACAAGACACGGCTGCTGGCCCTGCCACTCACGTTAGTCAAGTCAAGAACCCAGGGGGCCAGCCTTGACTTGGCTCTGCTCTCTGCATCGAATCCATCAGTAGGGGCTTTTGCATCTACTTCCAGAGATCTTTCAAATCCATCTACTTTTCTCCACTTCCTCTGCTACCAGCCTAAGCCACACCTTGTCTTTTCTGAACTATGAAACAGCCTCACAATTTCTCAGCTTCTACTCCGGTTTCCTTCCAGCGCAACCTCCGCACAGCAACAGGAATGCCTTTTAAAAGTGACAATCAGGGACTTCCCTGTCAATACAGGGGCCTGGGTTCGATCCCCGGCTGGGGAACTAAGATCCCACATGCCACAACTAAGTATGTGCACCACAACTACTGAGGAAAGAGTGAGGAGCAGTATCAGGTTGTCAACGTGAACTGGAGCCTCACGTCTGACATCCTCACATTCTTGGCTGCTCACTGTCCCCACAGGCAGGAATACTCTTGAGTTCTCAACAAAGGGAGAAAGCAGTGGTGGTGAGCCTTCAGGGCTGCAGGTCAGAGTGGCTTCTGGAAGGGAAGAGGTGGGCTTACCTGGTGTATGGCGTCGAGAAGCGGGGAAAAGAGATCGGTGTCGTAGGTGGAGCGCCTGCCTTGCAGCACGGCGACCAGCCTTTCCAGGCCCATTCCCGTGTCCACGTGCCGCTGGGGCAGGGGCTGCAGGCTTCCGTCTGCCTCTCTGGCCAGGTGTACGGGAAAGGTGTGCAAGGTGAGGCCCCCATAGGATTGAAGGTATGATGCTCAAGTGGCATAAAGGGATGAGGAGGGGATTTGGGGGGCCAACAGTGAGAGGAACCAGCGGGCAGTATCATCCTCCCCTTCCCCCAAAGTGGATGATGATAGCCTTGGGTCCTCTCCTTTCTCATAAAGGGTGACTGGGCCCTTGCCTAGATCCAGACCTCCACTTTCTGGGACACAATTCTTTGTTTTATAAAAAGGCATGTCAAGGCTGGTAGAAAATCTTAAGAGATTATCAAATTCAACTCCATCTTATGATAAGAGAGCAGAGTCCAAAGACCCACAGTGTCTAGTTGCAATGTCACGGGCAAAGATGAGGACTAAATCGGTTACTATCTGAAAAGTGTTTAGAAATATGCCTGAAAGTGAAAGTGTTAGTCGCTCAGTCATATCCGACTCTTTGTCACCCCATGGACTGTAGCTTGCCAGGCTCCTCTGTCCGTGGAATTCTTCAAGCAAGAATACTGGAGTGGGTAGCCATTCCCTTCTCCAGGGGATCTTCCTGACCCAGGGAATGAACCCAGGTCTCCTGCACTGTAGGCAGACTCTTTACAATCTGAGCCACCAGGAAAGCCCCCAGAAATATGCCTGGCACATTGTAAATGCTGTTTAAGTATTTGTTTTCGTAACAACTGGATCAAAGTCTCCTGACTGCCCACTTTTTCACTTTCAGTCAGGGATTTCCCTCCTCCTCTAGCAACCCATTACCTGTTATGTTGCATGAAGACCAGATTCCAAAGCTCCACCAGCTGGGGAGCCCCTGCCCCACCGGCCAGGTCATAGTGTATCTCAGTACAGGGCCCACAAGGCCCAGTATCCCCCATCTCCCAGAAGTTCTCCTCGGGCCCAAAGGAGAGCACGCGGCTGGCAGGCACCCTGAGAAGAAAGCCAGATGGATGGTGGGAGACAAAGGCAGAAGCCGGGGACCCCCTACCCCACCCCTGCTATCTGCCAGGAGAGCCCTTCCACTAAGCTCAGCAGGACGAGGAAAAGGGTTGACCCTACAGTATCACAGGATATGCTGAGACTCTGAGGTCCGGTGCTGGTTATTTTCCAGTTTTCTTGTGCTCCAGGAGTGGGACATAAGTGGGGGTGAACTCACCCTAAGTTGAGCCAGATATCCCTGCTCTCCAGGTCTGGGCCCAGCCCAGCCTTGGGGTCACCACCAAAGTAGGAGACCCAGAGCTGGTCCTCAGGGATCCCATAGACCTGAGTCAGCAGCTCCCAGGCCATGCTGCAAGCTTCCTCCTGTAGTGGAAACCCAGTGCAAAGAGGAAGACGGGTGAGAAGGCCCCACCGAAGTGCCCATCAAGCCACATGAATTCCACCCTTGGCTTAAGACAAGACCATTTCCACTGCCCACCTGGTTTCCAGAACAAGCCATGACTCTCTCTGCTTCTGAGATTTTCCTGCATAGAAAGTGTCCTCTCTTCTAAATCCCATTTTCTTTCAGGTCCCACCTTCTCCATAAAACCCCCCACCCACCTCAGCCTGAGAGGATTTTTAACTCCTGCATTTGCATTTTATTTACAATAACTATTGATCAGCCATTAGGCAGGAGGCATAGTCCTGGTCCTCAAGAAGTTTACGGCTCAACCAGGGAAGCGAGACACATTTCTATTATGTGTCCATCGAGCACTTTGCCTCTGTGTCTGGTATGAGGCTCTGCTTAAGCCGACTCTAACAGTGGAGACAGGATTAACCTTGGCTCCTTTCTTGGCTGACCACTGACCCTTTCCTAGCTCCAGGGCTTCCTGGGGACTCACCTTAAAATATTCACCCCCAAAGGCCCAATTGCCCAGCATCTCAAAGAAGGTATGATGGGAAAGGTCTCGGCCCACATCCTCCAGGTCGCTGTGGCGTCCTCCAGCCCTCACACATTTCTGGCTGTTGGCTACCCGTCGGAAGCCTGCCATCTCACTTCGTGGATCCACAGTGCCCAGGAAGATTGGCTTGAACTGGAAACACAGGAAGGGGGAGAGACATATTCTAACAGAAGGGAAATGAAGGGAGTGGGCATAGAGACGGTGATAAAGATTGAGGGCTGTCCATGGCCCCTACAGTGAAGTCTTGACCCGGGGGGCAACTTGAGAGCACCCATCTCTGGTGGTGTCTGGGCATACAAATAAATCATGAAAGACTGTTAGTAAACTGAGAACGAATGTGCTGGTGGCTAGAAACAGGGCAAGTCTATGGAGGCTAAATGGTGCTCAAAGTCGAAAGATTAGAGCACGTAGGCTAGCACAGTAGCATGTACTCAACAAACATTTATTTTAATGAATGATATCTTTATTTTAAAAAACTAATAAATGAAGCCAGACTTCCCCTACCAGTCTGCCCCCATGGGACTCCACACCCGCCATTCCTGGAACTAAAACTCAACCTTCACCCGCCACTCCTGGAACTAAAACTCAACCTTAACTCAGAAGTTCCCCGATCGAGCTCTCCCCAAGCGCTAATTTGCACCCCAAACTCCTTGCCTAATTACGCACAAGCTCTCTTTCCCCGAAAGGTAGGAGCTCCGCCCTCTGCGTCTCTTGCCCAATCCTACAACGCCTTTCTCTAAGGAAAAAAATTGCAAACTCCGCCCAGACCTGCGTGGTTCAGCCCCTACCTGGTTCATGCCTGCATTGACGAAAAGCAAACTGGGGTCGCCGCGGGGCCTCACGGAGGCGGAGGGCACCAAGCGGTGGCCATGGCGGTCCCGAAAGAAGCTCAGGAAGGCGTCCCGGACGGCCGCGGCCTGGGTTGGAGAGGCCTCCGATGAGAGCGCCCGAAGGCCCCGCCATGAGGGCGACCTTCGAATGGCCCGCCGAAGTCGTGCAGCTGCGGCTGCCACCGACGCCGCCATCTTAACTGGGGGCAATACTTCACGAGGTCAAAGGGTATCGCAGGGATAGAAGCAACGAGAGCAGGCCTGGCGTTTTCTACAGCGACCCCTGGCGGCAGGAGGACTCAAGACCGCTTCTGGCTCCCGGTAGAAGTGATAGGCAAGAAGGCGCCTGCAGGAGTCCGCCTATTAATAACACAAGCGGCCTGCCGCATAGTAGGCCCTTAATTCATTTGGCATTCAACAAATATTCACTGAGAGCCTGTTGTGTGCCAGGCATTTTTAGGCGCTTAAGGTACATCAGTAATGAAACTGACAAAAATCCCTACCCTCCGGGGATTTTGCTGGGGGTCCAGTGGTGAAGACTGTGCTTCCAGTGTAGGGGGCTAGGGTTCCATCCCTGGTCAGAAAACTGAGCTCCTATCTGCCATGCCCCGCAGCCAAGAAAAAAAAAATTTAAACAGTCCCTACCCTCCAGAAATCTGTATTATATCAGTAATTTTTAAAAAAACAATTTTTTTGTCAATATATCAGTAATTCTTATTTTGCAAGATTACAAATGGAGTTGCACTGAACAGGTGTGGATTCAACTCTATGTGGTGCATGTATGTGCGTGCTCAGTCATTGGATCATGTCTGACTCTTTTGTGACCTCTTGCACTGTAGCCGGCCACCCTCCTCTGTCCATAGGATGTTCCAGGCAAGAATACTGGAGTGGGTTGCCATTTCCTCCTCCAGGGGATCTTCCTGACCCAGGGATTGAACCCCCATCTCCTACATCTCCTACATTGGCAGGTGGATTCTTTATCACTGAGCCAGGTGGGAAGCCCGGATGTCTACCTGTGTGTACTTCCAGGCTGAGGGAAGAAGGCAGAGATGGCTAAGGGAGGTGATATCAACATTCATTCAATAGTCATTCAACAGATACTTGAAAGTGAAAGCGAAAGTGTTAGTCACTCACTCATGTCCAAGTCTTATCAACCCCGTGGACTGTAGCCTGTCAGGCTCCTCTGTCCATGGGATTCTTCAGGCAAGAATGCTAGAGTGGGTAGCCATTCCCTTCCCCAAGGGATCTTCCTGACCCGGTGATCGAATCTGTGTCTCCAGCATTGCAGGCAGATTCTTCACAGTCTGAACCACCAGGGAAGCCCTAACAAATATTTATTGATACCTAAATAGTACGTGTCAGGCACTGTGCTGTGAACTTCTCATTTCCCTTTGCCCTTGGCATTGGAAATGGCCATTTTGTTCTTAGGGATTGAAGCAGAAGTTTAGTGGAGATGCAGAAGCCAAGCAGCAGCTGTTCCATTATTAATTGTGTAATAACATTTGGTCTTTTAATTTGCCTGGGGATTAGAGGGAATCCGAGTTGTCAGGCAGGACGAAGCTGTCGGCTGATAGCTGCCGAGATTTCTCTTTCTCTCAGCCTCCCAGTGCCCTAGGCTTTTGTGTATTTTTGCTTCAGGGTAAGAGAGATACCTTTTCCACCCCCCTTTCTGTCTGTCTCTCCATGGTAACAACTTCCACCGTGAGGCCAACACAGGCACTTGTAGGTGAAGCGAGGGTCTTCACCGGGCTTCTCTTGATACCCTCTGCTCTTGGTTTGGGAAATTAAGCAGGTCAAGAAGAGAATTTGTCTCAATTAAAGCCTCGACAGCACTGAGATGAATGTGACCATCTCTAAGGCTTCAGCTAACCAGCAGGCTCTTCTGGCCTCCATTCTTTGTGAGTTATGTTATTTAGGGACTTTGAAGAGAGTTAGCCTTGGGAAATGTGTGGTCTTTTTTTGGACTTGAGTTTCTATAGTGACAGTGAGCTCTCAACTTTGTATTCTGACAGAACCCAAGACATCCATCCTGTTTCTTCCCTTGCCCACGCAGATGAAAGGTGTTGTTTTGAAAGTGTGTTTTGCCTCTGTTGGTTTTTCCAGTGTTTTTGGAACAGGAACCTAAAGCCAGATGGGGATTTCTGTGAGATTCATGATCTTGAGACAAGCCTGTGAAATTCTTCCCCAAATTGAAATGGGAGTATTTTGCTAGAGAAATCTAGCTAGGGCTTCTCCTCAGCTCTGACGTCAACTTTTTTTTTCCCCTTCAGATTTTGCCCAGAAAGTCTGCATTATAGTAGGAACTCCTTATTTTTAGATTATTGTGGGTCTAGAGTAGAGCCACGGATTTTTTTTTTCCAAACAGATTTAATGTAATATAGTTCACATACCATACAATTCACCTACTTAAATAAAGTGTATAATTCAAATGGCTTTTAGTACATTCACAGAGTTGTTAGCTGTTAATATTTTAGAATATCTAGATCATTTTCATCACTTCAAAAGAAACCCCATACCTTTTACCTATTAACCCCCAATTACCCGATCCCTCCCAGCCCTAGGCAATCACTAATTACTTTCTGTCTCTAACGATTTGCCTATATTCTGAACATTTCCTGTAAATTGAATCATACAAAATATATGGTCTTTGTGACTGACTTCTTTCACTCAGCATGTTTTCAAGGCTTATCCATGTTGTAGTATGTATTATGAATTTTATTTTGGGTTGTTTTCTGTTTGAAAAACAGTTTTCTCCCCATCTTGTTGTTTTGTCCTTGCCATTAAAAATGCTTTTTTGGAATATGGTATCTTCTGGTAAATCAGTCTCTCTTTTTTTTAATATTTCCCAGTCAAGCCACGTGGTTCTTGTAGGATTGGGCTGTGCTTATTCTGATTTGCCACTGTCATCAGATGAGGAAGTTAAATTTATGGTCTGCAGTTTCTCAAGATAGATGAATACAGGAGAGAATGTGCCAGACTGGGAAGTTACTGACCTGGGAACTTCTCCAGGAGTTCTCATCCACTGCCTTAATACTCATAGGAATTTCATTTAGGGTTTAGAGTATAAACGATGTCTGTTTCCTGGGGGTTGTTTAGCTGGGTTTGGGTATGGCCTTCCCTGGGGTAGGGATTGCCCTTATGTTGCTGTCTGACCGACCTCGGCAAGTCCAAGGGTCCCTATGGTTGAACCTTCTCTTTCCGCCTTATACATGAGAAGTAACTCTGGGAATGGAAATCTTCTTTCCCGATTTCCCCATTGACTCCTAGAGCAGGAACCTGAGGTCAGTGATGCATTCCGTCCTAGACCGATGGTCAGAGGAGACACGAGGGGATTTTCATCCTTACTAAGCATAAGGAACTCGGCTCGGGGAACTTCCGCTTGTAAGTCCTAAAGGCTGTGTTTTAGTGTCTAGGTTAAAAGTTCAGTTTATAAGAGGTGTTCCTATGTTGATGTATTTTTTTATGGCTTTGCCTTATCTGGATTGTGAAAGCAACACTGTCAAACGTTAATATGCGTAGGGATCTCCTGGGATCTTGTTCAACCTGTAGTTAATGATTCGGTAGGTCTAGGATGAAGTTGAAATTCTGTATTTCTGACAGGTTCCTAAGTAGTGCTGTTGATACCCATGGCCTCCTAGACCATACGTTGAGTAACAGGGGTGTGGTAGAGGACTTGTGGGAATAGTGAGGACAAAGACTTGCTTGGGACTGGGCGTTCTGGGGATCTCCCCTTTCTTCCAAAGTGGGGTGTGTGAGGCTGGCAGCTCTATGTGCGCATACGTGCTCCCTCCCCGCGGCCTCTCCGGGAGTCCTAGCAAGGATCGAAGTTGCGTCTGCCTGTTGCTCGGAGACGGGGAGGCGGCGCCGACCAGAGGCTGCGGATCCCAGCGGCCGCTCAGAGCTCTGGGGAGCCGGCTAGGGCTGGGGTCGCTGACGGCGGGGCTGGAAGGGTGGGAGCCGCCTGGGATCCGGAACCCAAGCTTTAGCGGCGTCCAAATGCTCGCGTTTGTCCTTGTGTATTTTCTAATGGTTACGTTTTAAATGGTAATGTAAGGACCTCCATAATCTCCGTGATTTTGCCTCTTGGCCAGCAAAAATCTGAAAGACTGCCTGGCTCTTTGGAAAAAGTTTGCCGACCCCAGACATTTCTTACCCCAAACTTGGAATCAGCCGCTTCCAAAAATCGTAGTTACTTTTAGTGAGAAATGATAGTTCAGCACTACTAATTAGGTGCTGGGATGCTCATTGCTACTGGGTTGGTCTTTGTTTCTAGGTTTTTTATAGAGGACAGAGATGGGGAGAATATATATATGTACAGATAAAATGTTCTTTGGGACAGTTTTTAAGCAGAGGAGCAACATGATCTGATTTACACTTAAAAATTATTTGGATGTGTAGGGTCTTAGTTGGGGAAGGAGGCGTCGTCACTGAGTCATGTGGGAACTTGGTGGTGGTGCTCAGACTCTGGTCCTGGCTTGGCTGGCTTAGTTGCCCTGCAGCATGTGGCATCTCAGTTCCCGCGCCAGGGATGGAACCTGGGCTCCCTGCGCTGCAAGGTGGCCTCTCAACAACTGGACCAGAAGGGAAGTCCCTGATTTACTCTTTTGAAAGATCATTGTAATGGGAGAGAATGAACTGTGGTGGCAAAAGGGGAAGCAGGAATACCTGTTAGAACCTTGTTGTTCAGGAAAGAAGTGATGGACAGGAGCTCAAAAGTGGTTGGATTCCGTCTATATGTGGAGATTTTACATATATATATATATGTAAAATATATATTTTACAAAAATATATATTTTACATATATATATGTGTGTGTGTGTATGTATGTATGTATGTCGTTGTTTAGTCACTAAGTCACTGCCAGGCTCCTCTATCCATGGGATTTCCTAGGCAAGAATACTGGAGTGGGTTGCCATTTTCTTCTCCAGGAAATCTTCCCCATTGAGCCACCAGGGAAAGAAAAGACTAACGTCTAAGTTTCTGACCTGCAGCTAGGTAGCTAGTGTTGCCAATTCACTGACCTCCGAAAGCCTGGGGAAGAAGCAGGTCTGTGGAAGGGAAGTCAAGAGTTTGCTTTGGACGTAATAAGTTTAAATTCAGACATCCAAGTAGAGATGTCACTCAGTGTTGGATATCAAAGTCAGGAGTGCAGAAGGAAGATCAGGGCTGTGGCTGTAGATCTGGGAGTCACTAGTACAGTGTGCTCC